GTTAGGGCTATTTTTTTAAACAAATTTATTACAAATGTGATAATTATTAACCTTTTTGAGACAGAAGCCATGTATTAAGTCTTTTCTACATTGGATTCTGTATAGTATTTATTTTAATGGTCTGAAATAAAGGTATTTCCCATTTTTAACATGCTAAGTTGTCTTACTTGTTTGTTGTCTTTATTTTTTTTTTTCAATAGACCTGTTCGACAAGTTAGAACTTTTAATATAAAGCACATTTGGGTCTTGACATGGTTGAGCTTGTTTTTGAACCACTTGCAATAGTTTTTGGCAATTTTTTTTTCAATGAAAGATCAAAGGGATAAACGATGTAGAATCTTTTTTTTTTACAGCCAGTTTTGATTGTATTTACCAGGGGTGCCATTAATTCTGAGCATGACTGTAGGCCTACATGATAAACAACTGCACAAGTATTATTATAATAAGGCTACAGAAAACCGGCATGATGGCTTCTGGAACTTGAAAATGGTTAAATCTGTTTTTAGTTAACTTGGCTTAGAATATTTGATGCATTCAAATATTTAGATGTACTTTTAATATAAATATAAAATGGTGTAACTGCATGGCTGTTTGAATTATTTTAAAGCATTATTACCTTCATGTCGATCCAAACCCGTAAGATGACCTTTTTTATTAATGAAATCTGTTTTCTGTCCATCCATTGACAGCTACTACGCAACTATGGCCTATTCGCATAAGGGAAGTATTACTTGGTGTCTAGTGACCTCTAGTCATTTGTAATATTTGCAGGTAATTACAATAATTTGCAGAAAGAGAAAGCTGAAAATCATCAGAAAAGAGACAAAAAGAGACAAATTGTCTAAATCAATTCATAATGAGCAGATTTAATTTAATATAAACATATACACATTGATCATAACATAAACAAGAATTACTTAAATTCAAATATATGCAAAGAATAGTAATATTTAACTATGCCATCATTCATTTTTTTTATTGTACTAGTTTCGACGATATGTAGATACCGGTAGATACTCGTATGTTGAAAAACTGAACCTAATTAAACTAAACCTGCTGGTCACAATATGTATATTTTACAACTAAAGTGATGGAATGAACTTCTGATATGGCAAATATTTGCACTGCGATTATTGAGTAAATGTTCTTTTAAATCTTATTTGACGAAACTATTCCCATTTGGGCAAAACTGAACTTTTGCTTATTCATTAAGATATGTTTTAGCTTACCTCAAGGGCACCCAAGATGTAGGTGTCTTTGTTTCCACGGTATTTTCAATTTTGACATTTTTTGGTCAAACCGTTGTGGTCTGTCAGTCATATAATGCAGGAATATCCCTGTAAACAATGCGTGACGTAGACGCGCGAGAGATCACTTCCGGCGTAACGTTGGAAATGGTTCAGTTGGACATCTGATTCAGATCAGCTCGACATAGCTGTTAACAAGAGGTAAAAACTATATAAATACTGTTCGTTTTCTCACACAAACCGCTCGTTTTGTGTCTCAGGCCATCAATGTGTACTTACATTCACGAGTCATTAAATCATGTTTAATTTTGACTTCTCTGTGCATGCTCTTTGAGGACACCTTAAACCTGCATTATATGACTGACAGACAACACCGGTTTGATCGAAAAATGTCAAAATTGAAAATACTGTGGAAACAAAGACACCTACATCTTGGATGCCCTTGAGGTAAGCTAAAACATATCAAAAAATAATTTCAAAGTGAACTACATGCTTTAAAGGGAAAGTTCACCCAAACATTTTTGTCAGTTGACAGTAGCCATTGACCAGAAAATGGCTAACGTTACCATCAACTGTCTGATTACCAACATTCTTCAAGATAATAGTCTTTTGTGCTCAGTAGAAGTAAGAAACTCAAACAGGTTTGGAACAACTTGAGGGTGAGTAAATAAAAGAATTTTTATTTTTGAGTGAACTATTCCCAGACCAAAAGGAAATTTTGCTTATTATGGGTTTCAACTGAAACCAACTTGCACTGATGTATCTTAAAATGTCACTGCTAATGTTTTGTCTCAAGATGCATACCAGTGATTTTTGTGTGTGTCTAAGGTACGTTTATTAAAGCTACTAATTAAGACCTAATTAAACTAATCCTGGTTTAATCTAAACCCTGTCTGTTAAACCAAGCCTAAATTAGATATTTAAGTACTAAATGCTCACATATCATTAAGCTGAATCCGGTGCCCATTTTTCAGTGAAGAACTGAGAAACGCACCCCTTGAAGCAAGAGTCAAGAGATAGACCTTTTTACAGTCTATGAGATAGACCTACAGCTGCTTTAATGGCAAGTTCTGAGTGCGTCCACAGGAGGGCAGATCGGTACACCATCTGTATCCACAAGAAAGAAAGAAGCTTTCAGCTGTGCCACAAACTCAGGATGCATACCAATCCCATTGGACTTTTCATTCCAGCACATGGGGATGTATTAGGAAATGTTTTATTCACACATGTGCCAATAGTTATCCGAACTCTCTGAAGGCCTGTGTCATTATAATTCCACGGCTGCAACTTTTGATCACTTCAGCGAGATCGCTTCACCAACATCCTCTGACATAAAGTGCGGGCCCTCATTCACCTGTCCATCACGCAAACACTATGTTAATTCCCGCATCATGTACCCCTGTCCCACGTCCCCGTCATTCAATTCATTGTACCAATCCCCTCTCTTTCCTGCCCTTTTATACCCACAGTCTTCTTTTCCAACATTCTTCCTCCTATCACAGCCCTCCACTGGAGGCATAACAACCTCTCCCCTCCATCTCACCCAGGGCTATACACCTTATGAGAAATGTTTTGATTATGTGTGCTCAGTGTAGGTGGCCCTCCGAAAAACTTTCACTGTCTGCATGGTAACCCCCCCTCCCTTACTCCCCCCATTCCACTTCCCCCTCTCCCCCTGCTGGGCGAATGATTGTGGGCTCAGGGATTATGCGAGCAGGAGGCTCGTAAAGGGCCTGCCAGGGTCTTTCTGTGCAGTGACGGATGGCTAGGAGCCCCCATTTACATAAGAAGGGAGAGAATAGAGGCCCCATTCACTCGGTCTGTCAGGGAGGACTCAGGGACAAACTGCACTCTCTCCAAGTTGCCCTCTTCCCCTCTCAGTCTCTCTTTTCTTCTTTATCTTTGCCATTCTCCCTTCTCCTCAAGCTTTTCCTCATCCGTCCTCCTTTCTTCAAGCCATTGTACTCAGTCTCTTCATTTTTGAGCCACTTAATTTTACTTCATTTTTAACTCTATTGGGTTTCCTATTTCAAATCAAAATGTCATATTTGTCCCAATGAATTACATAGTATTTCATTTTTCATTGTTCACAGATTAAAACAACAACTCCAAAAAGGTATTACACTAATTCACTTTAACTTAAAAGGAAATTGGTTCTAAATGTTGTTTTAAAAAGCCCCATCTGTCTTAAAGGTAAATTATATAAATGGTATTTCAAAATAAGAATATATGCACTCTAAAAAATGCTGGGTTGTAAATTTTGAGTAAAATTTGGGGTAAAATATGGACAAACCCAGGGTTTGTCCATATTTTACCCAAAATTGGGTTAAAACAACCCAGAATGTTTTAGAAACACACACAGACACACACACACACACACTAAAAAATGCTGGGTTGTTTTAATATATATAATTTTCTTTGGAAAAAAAAATGTTTTTTTAAATGTTTTTTTTTTTTTCATTTTTAAATTTTTAAGAAGTAATCATTTATATAATTTGTTACTTATAGCTAAGATATTTAATGTAACTTTATATTTTACAGAACTCTACCAACGTTACATTTTAGCATATCCATACTCGGTTTTTGGTAATGTGGCGTAATCACTTACAGTGATTGAAAATAATTGTTTATTAGAAATCTAAATATTATTTGACCATTTGATTTTGAATCTGTAATTCAAGGAAGTAAAAGCATGGACACAGTAAAAGAAAAATCAAAACAGGCGAAAACAGTCTAGATGCCATATTTATTTAGTTCAGTCATAGAACTCCTGTTGATTGTCCTTTACAGGTTCATTCAGGTATCCGTGTTTGAGCAGCTTAGAGCCCATGCAGCTGAATGGGTGGTTATCTTTTGTGTTTATCTTTGGAAAAACAACTGTGTTGTAACTTGTTTTGGACATACATATTCAAACCCATGAAAACACTGGTTTTAAAAAGCAATACAATAGTCAAAGAGAGACATGTGGAGCACATGTGTACGCAAACATGAGGTCTTTGAGGTATCTGTGTTTGTAGGGGGATACACTTAACATTTCTGAGAAATTCTCTGAGCTGTCTTGGTTCCGTCTCAACCAAATGGGACAAAGAAACAAAGGACGGCAGAATGAGTCAGGCACTTCGATAAAGAGGTTTACTATTTGTCCAAAAATGTTTTCTGGACATGGTTTTAAGAATGAAGCCCCACAATTTGTGGTTGGCACTAAGGCGTAACTGTCAGTCACGAACAGAAGCTGCTTGCATGTTTCACAAAGCACCTGCAAACTCACAGGCACTCACACCTGTGTCTACAAAAAGAACGAAAGAAACAACATAAAGCTTTGCACCCACACCTTTTCTCACGCAATTATAGAAGCAAAACACACCTTTAGAAGTTACTGACATTCGCATGTCATAAATGGTCATCAAAAGGGAGTAATGGCACATTGCTGTAATTATATATTGTGTGTACTGTAATAATTCACAGTTCACACAAATTTACCCTGAAAACAAAGCTCGATAAACGCACAAAATTTAACTGTTCGTTTTCACAGAAAATTTCACATGACCCCACCATGACAGGGTTAAGAAACGACAATAGAAGAGACATTGTAAAGAAATTGTAAAGGTGCAAAGTGAAACTAATTAAGTCATAGAAAGTGGTTCAAAGAAATCAGGTCCAAAATTAACTATACAATCTTTGTCGAATTTTTAAAGATTTTTTGTTTTGAAGTGTATAAAAACATGTTCCATGACAATTTATACTGAAATATGTAATAATTATCAGTAATATTTATTTAGAATTGAATTCTCTGATCAATGAAACGAGCCCCTTGTCTCTGCGTGCCGCTTACCTCCTTGCAACAAGTGATCTTCGACGTACAACACCACACCCCTACAATTGTTATGCAAATGAGCATAGGGTTGCGTTGAGCGCTGATTGGACAGACGTGGAATACAATTATACAATTGGTTCAGAGTGGACTGCAAACTATTCTGCTCAACAAGTGACTTGTGGATAGCGTTCAACAGAGTTAGAGAGAGAAACAAACAGCAGAAATTGAGAAACTTTTCGAGACCTTTTTACTTTATTTTTGTTTTAAAAAACTTGTTTATAAATGTTTTGATTAATCGTTTTCTCATTGCTCCTTTTTTGGAGTTTAATTTGGCGAGACAATCCCGGCTGTAAAGAGACTTCACCTGCGCCGGATTTGTTTGACCTGATTAGGTTCGCTTGGACACTTTTAATTGGCTGCTTTACGCATTGAGCGGTTGAAACTCAAAGTGAGTAGGCATGATGTATAGCATGATGGAGCATGAACTGAAGACCGCGGGTCAACCTCATCCCCACACGAACAGTCCAGGAATGCCTCCTCCGGTCAGCGGGGTTGGAACTGCGCACCACGGGTCAAAAACTTCTTGTCCACCGGGCGGGGATCCTATGGACAAAGTGAAGCGCCCTATGAATGCGTTTATGGTGTGGTCTCGTGGTCAGCGGAGGAAGATGGCACAGGAGAACCCCAAAATGCACAACTCTGAGATAAGCAAACGCCTCGGAGCGGAATGGAAACTTTTAACGGACGCGGAGAAGCGACCGTTCATCGACGAGGCCAAACGTTTGCGGGCTGTACACATGAAGGAATACCCCGATTACAAATACAAACCTCGGCGTAAGACCAAAGCTCTCATGAAGAAGGACAATCACGTCGGCAAATATCCTCTCGCACCCGGCAACCTGTTGGCTTCAGCCGTGGCACAGGGACAAAGTGGCAGCCCGAGAATGGACGGTTATGGCTGGGGTCACGCCGGTGGTTATATGGGCATGCAGGGCGAGGCACTCGGATACCCACAGCAACTGCACCGCTACGACCTGTCAGCTCTCCAATACCCGCCGGCACAGACGTACATGAATGGCGCCAGTCCTTACAGGTTTGTTTTATCAAGAGATTTTAGTAGAGTTAAGTTACACTACTAAAAGGGAAGTTCGACAAATTGGGGAACTAGAAAACTAGTTATGTGGGGCGCCCGCACATTTATGTTAACTGATTCAGTTTTCCTCCTGTTTAAGTTGAAGAATCAAACATTTGTGAACAATTAATATAATGGTCTCTTTAAATTTTTTTTATAAAACTAAAATTGTTGTAGGCTATATAAAGATTGAGTTTAAGTTGTTTTTGAAGTTGGTAAATTAATAATCTATATATAATTGCGTTTAATCAGCATTTGACTTTATTATTATTATTATCATAAATATTTATAAATATGATATCATAAATATATAATTTATTCATTATAGATTTTCTTATCATTGTCCATATTTATTTAGCATTTGCATATAGATTTTCAGATTAACCACAACTAAGCTGACTTAACCTGTATAGACCTGTTATTTGCTTGTCAGCATTACGTGGAACAAATTCAGAGATGTTTTATATGTGGAAAGATACAGATTCTCAAAGCTGTTCATGTGTCTGATGCCCTGCTCTTCTTTTGTCGATCACATTTTAATGGCTTATTTTGTCCCTTTTTTTGTCCACAGCCAAATGTCCTATAGTGGCAGCCCTCAGCAGCCCAGTCCAGTGATGTCTATGGTTAAACCAGAACCCCTATCCCATTCACCTACTGGAGTACCAAACCACCACCGTGGCGCTTTCCAAGGGGACCTGAGGGACATGATTAGCATGTACATTCCAGGTGGGGATACCAGCGATAGCTCAAACCAGAGGGCCTACCCTGGTGTCCAACAGCACTATCTAGGTGGAACTGTTCCCCTCACTCATATCTGAAGTTTGGGACCGTAGTGCCACACATAGACTGTATGGATTACTGAACACTTCTGATTGTTTACTACCTCCTTGCTTTAAATGATCTGAAGTTGTCTGCTGAAACTGTCTAGCAAACTATCTTTTTCAGTCTCCCGTTTTCTTCCTGTATTTGCAGCCATCACACTTTGACTGATCACCTTTAACTTCCTAACTCATGGCATTATAGACAATTAAAGGGCTGCCACTTTGCATAAACTCACCCTCATGTCGTTCCAAACCCGTAAGACTTTAGTTTGTCTCCAGAAGATCTTTTTAATGAAAACTGTGAGCTTTGTCCGTCCATTGACGGTCTACGCAACTGATGCTTTCAAACCCTAGAAAGGTATTTGAGGCATAATTAAAATAATCCATGTGAATCCAGTGAGGTTTAACCTCAATTTTATGAAGCGCTGCGAGTGCTTTGAGCAAAAATAAAACAATTTACCTCTTTATTTACAAAATATCAATCTCGTTTGTGTAACAACTTCCACTTTCTTGTCAACACAACACATGCGTTTTGGTGCTCTTGAACACATGTTGGAGATTAATATTTTACGTCACTAAAAATTGAGTTTAAACCACCGGAGTTACATGGATTACTTTAATGATGTCTGTACTACTTTTCTGGGGCTTGACTGGTAATTGCATAGGCTGTCGAAGGAGGGATAGAAAGCTCTCAGATTTGGGATCTGAAGATGAACGTCAGTCTTTCAGGTTTGGAATGACATGAGGGTGAGTAATTAATGACCAGATTTTCATTTTGGGTGCACTAACCCTTTAAGTAACTTTTTTTTTTTTTTTTTTTCCCCTCATTCCTGTGCAATGTTTAGAACATGCGTTGTTCATGCAGCAGTGGGCAATCTAATTAGGGTACAAAACTGGTCTGCCAATATTGATCGTGATGGACAACATAAGACCTTAAGGAGTGTAAATTAGTTTTTGTTTGGTGAACCCTGTTTCCCACTTGTATGCCCAAACTGGTTCAGCACATAACTGAATGATTGGTCAAGTTGACCAAAGTTTCTTTAAATTTGGGTATTGATATAGTAGTGTTTTGGACAATCTCAGGGCTTTCTTCAAACAAATAGCATGAAAATGACCATATCGATCAGCGTTGACATTGCCTCATTCAATTAGAAATCTTTGAATCTGTTACCCAATTTGTAATTGAAAGTCATTCAGTCATTACATGCTTTTCATATGTTAATAATAACTGAAAATGCATATGTACCATACCAGTGTGCATACGTTTTTGAATTTACTTACTTTACTTTTTTTTTTTTTTTTGTATATAGTCTCTACAATGAAATTGCACTCCTGTAAATGGTCAATATTTTAGCCATGTTTACAGATTGCTAAGTGTTGAGTTTTTGCCTAGCATTCCAGCATTTCCCTCTTATGGGTCAAACTCGAATGCACTGATCTTTGCTGTCAGTCGATGCACTTCGTTAGACTAAGTTCTCTACCTCATCTGGTCTTTCTCATTATACCACAGCATTAAGTCTGCTTTTGCCATTACAGTATGGTTGACCAGTGAGTTCAGTGGACTTGACTGAAATTTTCTGTTGGGCACTTGGTCCTTTTGACAACAAAATGCAAAGTAATGTCAAGGTCTTGAGGTTTGTTTTGAGCTCAACGTCGTGTGTGTGTAGGTGGCATTTTGTGGCAGTCCAAAATTAAGTTGGCTGCCACAAAGCTTGGTTAGTTACTAATATTTTGGTTAAATGGTGATTTAAGCACAATGATAAACAGTTTACATTGCCATTGAAGTGAGTTTGCAGCTTGCTGTTTAATTTTTTTAAAAACTTTTTTAATGGATTTAATTTAGGTTGTAATTTTGTAAATACCTCTTGTACAGTGTATATTTTTTGTTTTGTGGCTCTTATAAGGGCCGTTTTTACAGAATAAAAAAATTAAATGCATCTGGTCTCAAGTTTTCTAATTTAAAAAAATATTTGAATCTAAATGTTTTTGATTCCCAAGTCACATGCAAATGGAATTTGATGCACATTATGGCAGTCATCTGAGACCTTTAGCATCACTGAGACAAAAGTTCTGTTATCAATCCCTTTCGTGGTAAATATTGTATCATAATCAATTTGATGTGAGTGAAAGTGTCTAACTACCAAGATAAATGTTTTTGTCAACATGGTGGTCTCTAAGCTATGACACACTAGGCTATTTTCACATCTTAAATTGTGGGAGACCACAGACATAAGGGCAGTTTCAACTGATTGATTTGGCGATTTCAACCACACACTAGAATATTCGTCCGGACTGAGTCCACACACCTGTTGATTGTAAAGTAGCGAGTTAAAAATTGACTTGAAGAAAAATAAATGGAGGTTGATCAACGTTGTCAGCTGGTTCTCCCTACGTGAGTTTTGTTTTAAGGGGAAAAAACAAAGGAGAAAAGAATATGGGTATGAATATTCTTTCTTAATACTCCACTTTTTGTGCTTGCTAAGCTTTAACTACAGAAGCACTCAACATTCGGTTGGTGAAGCTTGATCGCTATCATTGGCTATTGCGGGTATTACGTCAGGCAACCCAATCAAGAGTTTGAAATTTAAGATTAGGGATCGCGTGGGCTCTGACGAGGTTGGTTGCAGTAAAATAATCGTAATAACAAAACAGGATTTTTTGGACAAAATGTCAGTTGCAAGAAGCCTCAAATCGGGCAAATCAAAAATAAATTTTTTCGTATTCGTGATTCGGTGGCTCTGAATTGTCTAAACTCCACTCAAAATGCTTGCTATACCTATGCGAAAACGCAGAAAATCGAACCCGATCTGATTTTTTTTTTCAATTTTCGGAGGCAGGGTGCAAGCGTGATTGACATAACCTGAGGTCGTATGTTACAGGAATCACCAACAAGTCGATCTTGGAAGCATTTTAAGTTGATTGCAAAGAGTTTTCAAAATCAGAGAAAAAAAGCCTATTGTGTGTAGTAAATGGTGTCTAGGGGATGTGGAGGCGCGAACGCTGTTACAATCATGTCATTTTTGCCGCACGCACCTTTGCGCTCATGTGGACGTGTTAAGTTTAAACAAGGCTTTACGCTTTAACCAGCTCAGCCACAGTCCTACAGCATAACAGCTTCAGCTTTTCTTCGAAAGGGAGGGGTGAGCAGTGGGTTGAGCTATTAGTGCAACTTGCAACCGAACCGCTAGATGTTGCTTAAAAAATACACACTGCACCTTTAACGTGTGAAAATTTCATACGCGAATTTCGGACTCAGACTTTAGGGACCTTTAAAGCCCAATTTATACTTCTGCGTCAAAACTCAAGGCTGATTTATACTTCTGCATCGGACCTACGTCGAATAGACTACGCGTTGGTTTTCATTTATACTTCTGCGTCGTTGTCCGTGCTGACGCGCAATTACACAATGAGGGAACAGTGCTTGCGGTACGCGTATAATTGATGCGTTGTTACATTTTTGGAGGTGCACATCAGGCTACGTCGAAGGGTATGCACACTACGCACAGCCTACGGCCTAGCTACGGCATTAAGCCCAATTTATACTTCTGCGTCAAACTCACGCCGTAGCTACTCCGTAGGCTGTGTGTAGTGAGCGTACCTTTCGGGGTACCATAACGTGCACCTCTCCAAAAATGTAATGTCAATTCTACGCATACTGCAAGCACTGTGATTGGTCTGCTAGAACCTCATAGGGTTTCACATGCTCCCTCTGCATGTGTAATTGCACGTCAACACGGACAACAACGCAGAAGTATAAATGAAAACCAAAGCGTAGTCTATAGCTTAGTGTCACACAACAGCGTTTTCAACTAAAAACGAAAAATATTTTATGTTTTTGGCTGTTCATTTAGGCTTCAGGACAACAGCGTTTGTGAAAATAGTGACGTCATGCGTATTAAGTGTTGGGCGTATTTTATAGCCAATAAATGGCCTCAGCTGCCTGACATGAATAACAGCGTTTTAAATTGTTTCCACAGATCGTGTGAACAGGGATCGTTTTGACAGTATGTGAAAGCGCAAAGGAAAAACCTTTCCGGGTCGTCACAAGGTACCTGTTCCATGTAAAAATTAACTTTTTTTTAATTGCCACAAATTTATTTGCAATTTACAAACAAATTTAAAGTCCATGATCAGGCATCTCATATGTGACATATGTGCATTTTTTTGTGTTACTTTTATTTTGTGTTAAACATTTAAGCCATATCATTTACTTTTAATGAAAGCAGTTATTTAGTTTTTCTTTTGTATTATTTATTTAGTTAGACGTCTGTGTCGTAAAAAGTTAGAGACGATGAATAAATATAAAGAAACAGGCCGAATAGAACGATTTAATGGCGAAATCCTCTACTTTGCCCCCAAATTCACTGTCCACCTCAACATAACCCTCTCTCCAGATTGAAAACTGGTTGTTGTCTCGGTCGTAATTGGCCGTTTCGGAGGCACATTGTCCGTCGCTTTTGAGATCGCAGGTGTACGTAGTAAGCCACTGAATCCGGAGAGGCTCCCTTGGACCACTTTGTTCCCTTTTCTCGCTTCCCGCTGTGCGGAAAATTAGCGTTGCCGTCGTTTCTCTCCGTTTTCTTCTCGGGTTTAACCCCCTCACCTCCTAATGTCATTCTCATGAAAATGTAAAAGCTCGCCGCGGCTAATCGGAGGGCGAAGGGAGGGGGGCTGCTGGGAAGAACGCGTACTTTCATTAACCTTGATAACAGTTCAGGCGTGTTTCCAAGTTAGACGCAAGTTAATCATTATCCATTACCAATTTTTTAAGTGTTTAAAGGGAGAAAATCTAGCCCACTTTGGATTCAAAAGAGCTGCGCTTATCGTCAGACGACTTCTGTCTATGCTGGGGGTTAAGAGGGCGAATGTGGGTGTCGAAAAGAGGGTGGGGGACTGGGGGTGTTGCATTTTCTGGTGAGAAACATACCATCACTTAGCAACGACCACTGAGGCTTAAACAAACTGTTACCATGGTATATTTTGGGTTGCCAGTTTGCAGATTAAGGCCAAATTTCGAATGAATGAAATTGATAATATTTCTTCATCTTGTTTTTTATTCGTTACAGATTTTTTTTACATTCTTTTTAATTTCTTTGGCAGCAACATGTTACTATTTTGTCATAAACCCGGAAACGAGATTAATGGTTGCTCTGGAAACTGGGGGGTGCGTATTATTTACATGCATTCCGAGGGAGCCGCTCCCCTCCTGCACGCACACACACTGCGCACACACAGGCTTCACTGCCTAACAGGTGAAATAAAAACCGTGAATGTTTAGGACTTGGTAATTATGGCTATGAATTGACAAATTTAGCCTACTCTGAAATATAGATATCCCATTGTATTAAAAATTTTCCTGTGTAAACAAGGAAACACAATGTAGGCCTAAATTAGAGAGCAGGTAGCGAGGCTTTGAGGGATATAGGCTATTGATTTTTTTTTTTAAAGTTGTATAAAGCTCATCACTGATAATTTTCTATCGCTTGTGTTGTCTACAATCCACTGAGAAGGAGATACCTGAGTATCATGTGATGTCCCCCTCGATCTCATAGATCACAGCCTCTTTCATTCCCACTAAAAAATAGAAATTGGTGCTGCCATGAATCATAAGGCCTTTAGGCTGTACATTTATGAAAATTTATGAGCATGTATGTGGTCCACCAACAACATGCAACATTTTTGTCCCATACAAGATAAAATGTTTGATGTAAAGAAATATTTTGCTACAAAATGAAAATCATTTCATTATCTCACCCATCTGTCATGTTCTGGCTGCATTTATGTTGTTCGACGTGTTTTATGTTCATTAAAATGTTGTTCTCTCTACTGCGGAATTTCCTCAGTATTATAATTCTTTTCATTTCTGTTTCACAGAAAAATACGTTGAAAGACAGGGTGAGTAAATAATAACATATCTAATCCTATGTTTTTCTTTTTGAGAGCGCTATTTCATTTTCAATCTGTTCACAGGCCTACATCAAAACATGTTTCGTCGCTCACTTGTGTGATGTCTTGTCAGTCATACCTTAGACGTTGTGTATGCACAGGTGAGTGAGTGGGCGTACATTTTTCTTCCCTTTTTTTTAAACAGCCGCTATGGTTGGTTGAAATGCCACCAGGGCTGCAGACACGCATGTGTGTGAGTCAACAAACGAGCATTGCCTGTCACGCAATAACAGGGCCAGACTCATCCGATAACATTCTGTTGTGTCTGTCACTTGTCAAATGTATGGCTAATTTTATAGGAAATAATATAAAATTTGTCTAAACAGAAACATATGTTTGTGCATTGCAAGAGCTCATGTGTTTTGTGCACGGAGAAACATAAAAAGACAAAAAACAAGTGCTACAAATCTGCACATTGAGGCAGGATGTTTCTGCCAAATCTATCAACATCCATCCTTGCGCTATCTTTTTTTATTATTATCAAGATTTGGATGCTAAGTGGGTGGTGGGTTCTTCATAACTTTTTCCACTTTATTTATTCAGAGAAAAATAAAATGAAACAGATTCCTGTTTGTCAACACAACATATCTACATCAAAAGCCTGGCATGAAGCCAAAGCAGTAGTCGCTGCTCTTACCTCATAGCATGCACTGAGGTATAATGAATGTTCTGGATGACAACCATAATTCCCCTAGAAAAGTAGTCTCTTTTTTTTTTTTTTGGTCATAATGAATTTTAAAAAGTTGAAGAGGAAGTTGTATATGGTACATTTAGGGTATTGACTTAGTACTTAGTACTCTGCAATTCTATATTTTTAAAGCAGCCAGTTTCAAACAAACAATGCATTGATAAAATGGAAAATGTTCTGAAAATGAAAATGGAAAATGAGACCCCAGACGTCAAAGCCCACCTTTCTGAGCATCCGTGGCACGCTTTAACAGAGCACGTGTCCATTTCTGTCAGGTTAATGTGGTTAATAGAGGAAGCATTTGCACAGCAATGAAAGACTGATTGACAGCTAACACTAATGAGTGCACCACACCCTGGGCAAGACTGGTCTTGCAGCAAATCGAGGGAAAGCAAGGTGGGGTGAAACAGAGGCAGAGGGAAACAAGATATGCAGGATTACTATTTCCAAAAAAGATAATGCCTGTGTTTTTATGCAAAGTTAATTGATGTAACTACACTAGCTGAGAGCTAAATATCTTTTAGTCTCTGACAAACCAGTCAGACACATGAAATCATCCGTTATAGGATAAGATATATAAGATATTGTCAAGCACCCAGGTGAGGAGGTGGTGGTATACGTAACGCTGATTAGCCTTCTCCTCAGGTGAGGTGAGATAAGAACATGGACTGTACTTTAAGACCTTTCCAACAGACCTCCATGAGGAAAACAAAAAAACATTGCGTAAACCAACATTATGGATTATATATTAATACATTCAATTAACTGTCAAGAAAAAACAATCCTGACCACTCTCAAAGAGTCAAAGTAACACTCTTTTCCTTATTCCATTTATATAAATAGGCTAAGTTATATACACTAATGCTCAAAAGTATATTGTTAATGTTTTTGAAAGAATACTCTTATGCTCAAAAAGGCTGCATTTAATTTACATTACAATTTAAAATACAGTAATATTGTGAAATATTATTACAATTATTCATCTGAATTTTTTTAGCAGCCATTATTCAGTGTCACATGATACTTTAGAAATCCTTTTAATTATTTTGGTGCTCAAGAAACATTATTATCAATGTTGAAAATAGTTGTGCTGCTTATTTTAATTTTTTGGAGACATTATTCATGTCTTTACTCTCACTTTAATCAATCAATTTTTATAGTACATTTAATGATGATAATGAAAAAGGGTCTGCACAGAAAAAAAAACGAATTAAAATGTACTTAATTCTTCTTTTGGAAGTTTTTGCATTTTTAAAGTAAATTTCAAGCATGGAATTAAGTAAAATCTACTTAACTGAGTTAAGTAAAAGTAACAAAGATTTTTTACTTGGCCAGTTTAAATTTTAGTAATTTCTACTTTTTACTTTGCAATACTCTGTTTCAAGTAGGCTACATTTTACTCAAACAATATAACAATGAATTAAGCCATGGTTTAAAAGTGTATGCTTTACCTCTAAGTAAATAATGAATAGATTTGTGTAGACAATCTGTATAATAAGTAACTCAGATTCAACCAGAGCTCAATACACAATAACGGTAACATTCAGTTGATCATTTTTGAGTATAAAGGTATCATTTTGAGTAGAAAATAAACTTCACATACCACAAAGTTACTAAACCTAACATCAAAACAGTGGAAATGCAACCGTATTAATTATTCATGCCCCATGTGCATGATGGGAACACCAGTATCAGAAAGTTGAGTTGGGTTATTTTAATTACATTGATATTTACGCTTTAATTTTTACAAGTTTGCGTTGAGTACTAACATAGAATTTCCTTTTTTTTTCATTCTTGCCTGAACTACACTCACCTGGATTATTAGGAACACCTGTTCAATTTCTCATTAATGCAATTATCTAATCAACCAATCACATGGCAGTTGCTTCAATGCATTTATGGGCGTGGTCCTGGTCAAGACAATCTCCTGAACTCCAACCTGAATGCCAGACTGGGAAAGAAAGATGATTTAAGCAATTCTGAGCGTGGCATGGTTGTTGGTGCCAGACGGGCCGGTCTGAATATTTCACAATCTGCTCAGTTACTGCGATTTTCACGCACAACCATTTCTAGGGTTTACAAAGAATGGTGTGAAAAGGGAAAAACATCCAGTATTCGGCAGTCCTGTGGGCGAAAATGCCTTGTTGATGCTAGGTCAGAGGAGAATTGGCCGACTGATTCAAGCTGATAGAAGAGCAACTTTGACTGAAATAACCACTCGTTACAACTGAGGTATGCAGCAAAGCATTTGTGAAGCCACAACACGCACAACCTTGAGGTGGATGGGCTACAGCAGCAGAAGACCCCACCGAGTACCACTCATCTCCACTACAAATAGGAAAAAGAGGCTACAAATTGCAAGAGCTCACCAAAATTGGACAGTTGAAGACTGGAAAAATGTTGCCTGGTCTGATGAGTCTTCTGTTTTCTGACATTCAGATAGAGTCAAAATTTAGCATAAACAGAATAAGAACATGGATCCATCATGCCTTGTTACCACTGTGCAGGCTGGTGGTGGTGGTGGTGTAATGGTGTAGGGGGGATGTTTTCTTGGCACACTAAAATGGTCCCCACAGTCACCAGATCTCAACCCAATAGATCATCTTTGGGATGTGGAACGAGAGCTTCATGCCCTGGATGTGCATCCCACAAATCTCCATCAACTGCAAGATGCTATCCTATGAATATGGGCCAACATTTCTAAAGAATGCTTTCAGCACCTTGTTGAATCAATGCCACGTAGAATTAAGGCAGTTCTGAAGGCGAAAGGAGGTCAAACACAGTACTAGTATAGTGTTCATAATAATCCTTTAGGTGAGTGTATTTTTCGGGTATAAAATACATTTTTTTCCTGTAGGATTTACTTCACTACAGTTTTTTTTTCAGTGTGTGATGAACATTGACAGTAGGTGTGTTTGACACAAACTATGCTTAACCTTGCTGATCGGCAAGAATAGCCGGTTGCAGTTGGAGGTGGAGTTGAGAGCCATCAAGTCGGATATTTCTGCTTTTTTTATAGAGTACGGGAAACACACTAACTACAGGACAGCAAACAGAATGCTGTTGAGTTGATAATAATGTATGTAGAATATGCTGTCTAAATTGTTAGCAGTTAATGAACCATGAGCTTGTGAGCACAACCAAAGAAAACATGCAGACTATGAAGATCCCTTTAAAGGACATTACGCAGCTTTTATGCTTACATAAATGAGATCTCTGTATAAATAAACTATATGTTCAAAAGACAATTGTTCTTACCCTACTTAGGTTGTTTTGTTTTGGAGGTTGGATGGAATGATTTGTAGATTATTTTGTATTTTTATTTTATCCTTTGCATTTTAAAATTGTTTCTAACCTCCTGTTAATATTGATTTTTTTATTAAACATCTCACATCAATTTTTAGTTCAATTTGAATCTCAGTTTTATCCTGCTAAATAATCCTTATCCTTTTTATCCTGGTAAAATAAAGGCACAAACGTTTAGTATGGGACCAGAATAATTATCAGTTAAGTCACTGATAATTAATCAAAGGTGTTCGAAATTCAATGTATGGTTGTAAATAAGTTATATTTAGACAACATTACATGCAATATTTGTTCTGAATTGTCATAGCAAAAATTCAGAAGTCATTTCAAGTGTCTGCATGAATACATGAATGTTAAATAGAGTTTGATCATTTGAGATTATATCACAGAAATAATTTGCTCTTGCTTCTTTAACGGCTTTTCGATATTTAGATAAACACTCTCATTAGATGCCTGTAGCTCATCTTTCTGTCACTTTCCTGTCTGTCCTGTGCATGATTACCATTGTTCAGCCATTGTAAAAATGATTATTCAAAGTTGTAAATATAACAAAGATAATTAGAGTGAAAATAGTTTCAAAGTAAATACTACTTTTTTCAGTCTTGTTTGAACTCTGCTTATGTCTGTCTGCTCCCTATAAATCTACAAGACTGAGAAAGACTTATTAAAAAGGATAATTAAATGATCAGTAGAACTGCCATCACATCCAACTGTACAGGCTTCGTTCGGCAACATTGTGCCAAGAAATCCAACTCGCTGTAGTCTATTCAAACATTAATTTTATCAGAATTTCATGCTAACTGATTTCAGACTTTTGGAGGTGGACTTAAAATTGGCAATGAATGCAGAACTAGTACAGCCAGTACACTTTTGTGTGCTATACACTGTAAAAAAAAAAATTTTTTTTTTTTGACGATTGATTTTTTTTATTTTTTTGAAAATTTATGACGAATGAAGACTAAAGAACTGGCAAGTTATTAGGTTATAGTAGGATAAAGGGTACCTAAGTGGACAAAACTGACGGCGATTATATTTTTACCAACTCTTTGCCTCTCTCTGGTGGTACATTTATGTATCACAGTCCATCACTTCAAACTACCCATAATGGATAAATGAAAAAACACAACTTTAAAATAAAATGTTTTATTTGTTTTTTCTGAAACTGATTGTGACTTTAAGCCTTACACAATTAAATAAATTCTTTGTGAACAGTGAGAAATAAACACTACAAATAATGGAAATGTTTTACTCAACGGTAAAAAGTACATTGCCACTTTAGATAAGGAAAAACCGTAATCACAGCCATTTGTAAAATGTCATTCCTGAAATAAACCAACAACGAACAATAGATGTTCACATGCAAAAAAAGGAAAATTAATTACATGTGCAAATATTCAATGTCGATCATTCAAATAAAATTTTCCTTTTACCTGTAGACAGATTAAAACAACTTGCATTTGATGGGTGAATACTACCATCTGGAACAAAAAAAAGTGCTTTGTAGAAATTTCTTATTGTACCCAGTCCCATTTATATCATGACGACATTCGACAACACGGCTAGCTACATGTATTATTGCATGGCCATTGCAAGAAATACAACAGCAATTGATTTACTAGTTTCCATGTATTAGCTAAAAAAAAAACCCCTTTATTTTGTCAAACACCAAAACATATTGTGGGGTGTAAAATAACATGAGCATTTCTAGGTTCTGGAAGACTTAAAATAGCGTCCATGTGATGGGATTTGTATACACACAGAACAAAAAAAAATGCTCTATGAAGTTTTTTAGGGCTGGTTTTAGCATATGATGATGCATATTGTCATATGTGCATTTTTTAAAAGTATGCATTTTACGTATTTATTTGGTACAATTTGGTCATTTTTACAATTCTGGAATTCATGATGACAAAAACCTTGGCAGACATTTTTTCACAGATTTGTTGTTGAATTCAAAATGGCTACTTGGGTTTCAGTGAATACGCAGTGAGCCCGGTTAAAGAGAGTAACAAGACAATACTCTAAGACAGGATGGCAGTAATTATACATGAGGATGTAGTACATACAGTATGTTTGTACATTTATGATTGGATGCAAGAATACCATGGACTCCCTTCTCTGAGCTAAGAAAATGGTCCAAAAATTGCCTAATTAAAGTACCCACTACCATAAAAAGGGCAGAGGAAAAGATCTAGAATTATAGAAGGACCCCAAACCATACTGGCTTTTTTTTGTCCAATTAAGGGACCTGGAATCCATGAATGTGTGAATTTATACAGTATTCATACCTGCCTGGAGATAAGCGCTGATATGTTAACAATAAATGCACTTAACAACTGATCAAGGGACAGTGTTCAATTTTACAAGAACCGTCATTTTTATACATCTGATCCCCAATCGGCTGTCCAGTGCACTTAGTTGACTTGAATGGTCACTGAATTCGTTCATATCTACTCAGTCTTCTTCCTGAGGGCAGGCCTGCTGTTCCAGTAGTAGAGAACCTGAGCTGTGATCACACCATTACAACAAGAGGAGATGATGTAGGTAACAGCCATGAGGGAATCTCCTGTTTCCTGTACAGGGAGATAGGACACATTAAAATGGTCAATTCTCAATGAAACCATTTCAAACAATGAGCATCATAAATAAGTTACACTATCATTCAAAAGTTTCAGGTCATTAAAATTTTTTGCAAGAGACTTTTATTCACTTCAATCTGCTGTTACCTGCACTGTAGTGAATATGCGTGCTAGAGAGCCAGCAAACAGCAGAAACACTGAAATAGCTGACAGCTGCCCAGTGTGGCCATTAGTGTAGTTGGTACCAGCCTGAATTAACTAAAGACACAGAAAATCAGGTAAATACATTTCTTCTGGTCCAGCAGTTGAACAGGGTTGTTTCTTTTGGCTTAGCTTACCCGTCCAAAGATGATGGCTGGCATATTAGAGGCTTGCATGGTAGTGACAATAGACATAGGGATCATGGGAGAGAGGAGCACTGCCAACAGTCCAAAGTAGACTGCCATAAACCCCAAACCTGCATAACACAATCAAAAGGTAATTATTAAAAACCGACTATTACAATACAACACCATTTTTTTGTATGTTTTTAATTAATAAGCACGTGGAATTGTCTTATTACCTTTGACAGTGTTTCCTCCATAGTGCTGTATGAGGAAACCAATGGTCACAGTTTGAAACATGAGAAAAAGTGCCTCACCCCAGGAACTGTCAAAAAATTCACAGTCACATGTTTTATATCTTTGTTTCTAATAGCCAGTTTTCCACTTTGTTGTTTGACATTTATAAATGCATTGTGTGCGAGTGGACAAATGTTTACCAAAATGATAAAATATGAAATTAGACTTTAACATATTTATGAAAGAGCATAACTATTAATGTACCTGAAAGGGAAGCTGTTGGCAATACTGTAGGCCATGGTGCCTGTGATGGCAAACAGCTCTAGTAGTACTGAGTTAAAGCTTAGTCCCTCAGCACTTTTAGCACCAATCAGCTTTAGAATCTGAGGCAGCTTTACTATGAAGAAACATGCACAAATCATTAGTGTTAGAGGAAATTGTCTGCGTTTTTATGTTATAATGCTGGAGATTTTCCTTACCTAATACAGAACCAAGGATGATCCCAATGCCTAGGCCTTTGCTGATTACAATCTTCAGACAATCCACTGTAGATACACAATAAGAACTTTAATATGATTGGCATGTAAAAATTGACCCCCAAGTTTAATATAAGTCAAATAGATAACACATTTAATACAGACATTAATACTTTTTTATGCAATTTATAATGCAGATGACGTTTAACATATTAACATTTGATGTATTTATTATAAACTGAGAATATCAAAACTAAAAGAGTCCTGGCTAAATTACTCCTAATACTACCCAAGACACTAGCCCCAATAAGAAATTGACACGTGTATAGTTTACAGAAGAGAAATCATTTTTGTCATTCAATCGTTATAAGTATAGCAGGAAATAATCTTTGAAAGCATCTATTTATCTATAAATATGCAACTAACAAATAAAACGTGAACCTACCGTGCAGAAGATTGAACTGTAAAAAAAACTCGTCATAACATCTTTCTGGCATTAAATAATTAACCAGAATATCTTTAAAAGGATCCATGAATGATGTTTCTGCAACTGCTTCCGATGCCGCCATGATGCAAACGTCAAATGATCACGTGATACACTTTAAAAACGATGTAGTGCGTTATGTAGTGCTTCCCCTTTATTTATGAAAATACTTCTAGCAGCTCGTGTTCCGGAGAGGACAGAGGTCACACAAAATATCACTTAATTGAATTATTATTATTTATTATTTGTGTTTATAAAATTTGGCTTGTCCTCTTTTACTGTCTGCTTGTCCTTCTACCAGCAACAGGTGGCGCGATTGTACCATAACGCTAGTATCAAAATTCCCCCCTAGTTAGTTTGTCCTTAGTGACTTTCCGTACATTTCAGCTGTTGTAAACTTTTTGTTTCTTTGAATTATTATTCAGGCTCAAATTGACATGCATCGCTCAATAAAAAAAAGTGAGTCTGGCATTGATTCCAACATTTCAGGCCACCCGTATTGCGTCTCAGTATTGAAAGAGGGCTACTGCACAGCTGAGCCAGACGGCTCGTTTAGAGCTGACGGTACCATTTCTTTAATTACCGGACCACAAAATATTCTAGTAGACACCGGGGGTCCTTGGGACCGAGACTTTCTCGTCGAAAAACTAAAGGAGAAGGGTATGACGCCAGAAAGTGTTGCTATAGTAGTAGGAACACACGGCCACTCTGACCACGTGGGAAACTTAGGGTTGTTTCCAGACGCCAAAATAATTGTGGGATGTGACATAAGCGTGGGGGATCGATATCTACCAAACCAGCTGGCTGAGGGACAGCCACACCCTATTGACGATTTTGTAAGTTATTCATATATGAAAATACATGAACATATATGTCATATAGTGCAATAACTTCTAATATATATTATTAGACACTATTTTGGTAATCCCCTTTATCCACAAGGTATCCATCATTCCAACACCTGGCCACATGGGCAGAGATGTCAGTGTCCTGGTAAAGGGAACATCAGAGGGTACAGTCCTTGTCGCTGGAGACTTGTTTGAACGTTGTCATGATGAAGATTCCTGGAAGGAGCTGAGCGAGAACCCTCAAATACAAGAGACCAACCGACAGAAGGCGTTACAGATAGCGGATGTAATAATTCCTGGACATGGGCCATTATTTAGAGTGCACAAGCAATCATGACATTAACATAATCTTGGAACTGAGGTTGAGTTATAGACAGAGCAATTATGAAATAAAAAACACATTAATTTATATCACCAATGTGGCACAATTTCAAAATAGCACATTCTGTTCACTTGTTTTTCTAATAGGCTACTGGTCATTCCTTTTTAGTTCAAAATAGATATTTTCACACACTTAACTGTATGTAACCATTCAGTATGTTAATGACATTATTAAATAATTTACTCTACCGTCGGTGGGAAATGGCATCACTTTATTCATGAATGTTAACCGTGGGTTTTCATTTGACCTATATTGACTGCTGAAACCACTGAACCACTTGCTTTTGCAGTTATTTTTAGGCTGTTGCTTATTGGTAAATCATGTGTCAAAAGATGGTTATGGAAAGTGATGACGTAGTTGCGGTAGTAAATGATTAGTAGGCTAGTAAATGCGGTCAAGATTTGATTGTTCTTCCACAATATAATTTATAGATAGAGATTGTATTGTGCCATCTTAATTCTTTATATGGGTAATGAAAATTAAGCACTTGCTGTTGTGAATGTTTGTAATTTTAAACTGTTAAAAGGGATAGTTTATGGAAAGGGATAACATGGACATTCTGTCATCATTTACTCACCCTCAAGTTCATTTCTTTGTTCTGTTGAACACAAAAGAAGGTATTTTAAAGAATGTTTGCAACATAACAGTTGTGGGGCACTATTGACTTTCATAGTATTTTTTTCCCCCATACTATGGAAGTCAATGGTGCCCCAGAACTTTTTGATTGCAAACATTCTTTAAAATATCTTATTTTGTGTTCAGCAGAACAAAGAAATGTACAGGTTTGTTTGTGACAACTTGAGGGTGAGTAAATGATGACAGAATTTTTTGGATGAACTATCATAATAGGCAATTAAAAACCGTTATCAAGTAATAAATGACAATTTACATGTTTTTATGACCTAAATATTAATTCACTGCATCATAGCCTACTGCCATTTGCTTTAAACCCATCAAAATATGCCTTATGATTTATCTGTGTCAATATAAATGTGAATTATAGCATTTTCATGTGTTTTTCTTCTCATCCTCAGCCCAAATCATTTTTAGGACCGGAAAACATCTGCTTCAGCACATTTTGTATTAGCACATTTACTCCACTAGAGTGCTGTCAGAAATAATGGATGTAAATTGATCGTTTAAGGAAGTGGTGACTCGTTAGGCTATTGCTGTTTTGTGGAACATCATGCTTAGCATTAAGGTCAGATCAAGTTTATTTATATTAAATGTTTCTGACAGTGGTTAACCAAAGAATATTGTGCCAGTCCCAGGCAAGCACACATTTATTTTTATTGCAGCCCAATGTGGTAATGAGGTAATTGGTGGTTGTTGTGGTGAACACACCAAGAACTAAATATTTGTTCAACTATTTATATTTAAATCCCATCTTAAAAATTAGATTAGCAGTAGCAGTTATAATGAATACAAAATGTTCTAATAATAGAAATGTTCACACATCTGTACCTTGATCCCTTTCCCAATAGGCTTGACGTATGCTGCCATTACATAAAATAACTGTTTAGATTCGTAATTAGAGGGCAGAGTTCAGTAAAAAGCCACAAACACACCGACCCACACCTCCAACAGCAGATAACATTCATTGATCAAATGATTCGAGATCGATTCCAGGATATTACAAATGTCCTATGATTCCCATTAACAGATATTGCAACCATTGCACCTCTTCACTATGGATGATTGGATAACATAGCAAGCGTTATGTAAAAACAATGTCTACTTTGAGCAGAAGAGTTTTCTGTCTAATATAGCATCATAAGGGCTGTTTTTGAAAGAGTGACATTTCGCTGTTCAAAGTACAGACATTTTTATGACTACTCCGGTAATATATGATAAAGATGTGACATCTGTAGCTGACCTGACGTCAGATAGGCGTGCTAGTCTTGTCACATAGAGTATTTATAATCTGTCCTCTCATCAATTTAGCACTTGAGAATAAAGTCTTACATGCTTAAAGTCTGTTTAATATTTCTGAGCCTAAACAAAGCAGAATATTTACATTATGTGTACAGGAAAGTGTGCCAAGTTTATTGGCATCAGCCTCTATCCGCTGGCACTGCTGTCCATCATCTGCAACATTTTTCTGTTTTTCCCTGATTTTAAAACTATTTATTCAAAGGAGGAAGCTGAGGGGCTCTACCGTCTTACGGATGAGATCATATACATGGGAGGCGTTGTTGGAGGAGGTATCTTGGTAAGGAAATTCTCATTAGATTGTTATAGTTTTCTCTTGACATTTCTGTTAGTGTTGTCTGACCAGTTTCTTGGCACTATTTAGCATCTGGAATACATTGTAGGTTATACCTTTTCTTCAACATATTTTTATGTGGATATGGCTACTGCTTTTCTCTTTTAGGTATTGATTCCTGCGATTCACATCCATAGCACTGGGAGGCAAGGCTGTTGTGCAAACCGATGTGGGGTGAGTTCTGCTAGGGTCACAGATTCGATTTATTTACACTGTTGACTTTAATTGAATTAGTGCCTAAAAAGGACACCAGGTGTTTCAGCTTTACCTAGGGATATTCATCATATAGGGATAGTTCACCCAAAATTGAGCATATTGTCATCATTTACTTGCCCTAACTTCCTCCCAAGTTGTGCTTTTACAGTTTGCTGTTGAAACAGTAAAAGCAAATGTCTTTGTTCATATTCAAATATTTTTGATTATTTTCAACTTTACAATTGTATGGGTAAAAACAGTTGGTCCCTATCATACAGCCGGCGCGACGCAAGTGTTTTTTGCTAGTCTCAGCCTGAAGCAGTTATCATTTTCAAGTCCTTCGCGTTTAAATAGCATTTCCACCCATGTGTGCGCCCATGGGCGTGCTGGTCTGAAAACAAGGAGTGTTCAGGCGCATTGATGGCGTGTTGCTATTTTGAGGCAACTGAAATAGACTGCACTGCACCATTGACCAACTGAAACCTGCTCTGAAGTCAATGCTGCCCTACAAAGCAAAAAGGCAGTAACTGCAGTTTTGGTAAAGCATTAATTATTACAATTTTCATGACATTCAAGGCATCCTTTGTTATGTGACAAAACATCTTATCTTAAATGGATGTCGTTTTAGAGAAAAATGGTAGTCGTTTGTACAGTAACTGCAAAAAGCCCTAGCAAAAGTCATTTTTCTCAGTTCTGCACTCTGCGTAGTTACTGCCTTTTTGCTTTGTAGGGCAGAATGGCGCAATTGAATTTTTCTTTTTTTATGCATAAGTAATATGCAACTGTAGGCGGGTCCACACGACGCGCGTAGCTTACACTCTGCTTAGTAAACACACAGGGATGCGCAGCAGCACACAAACATGACAAATTTACAAGTACATTTATTCATTTAGCTGACGCTTTTATCCAAAGCAACTTACAATTGCTACATATGTCAGAGGTTGCACGCCTCTGGAGCAACTAGGGGTTAAGTGTCTTGCTCAGGGACACATTGGTGTCTCACAGTGGATTCGAACCTGGGTCTCTCTCACACCAAAGGCAAGTGTCTTATCCATTGCGCCATCACCACCCCATATATATATAAATATTAAAAATAAAAGGATTACAATGTAAAAGATTATTATTGCTTACAATAATCCACTATCATCATGTAGGCCTAAATGGACATCCGCCATGGTGTGAGAGAACGGGAATGGGAGATGAGACTCTGATTGGTTTATTGCACGAAAAGCCCAAAACACACCAATTACTCATTAAGAGAATAGAGACAACAATTTTAGACCATGCGCTTGTGCGCCGACAATTTTTCCCTGTCGTTAAACTAGCAAAAGTGGATTCAGACACGCCCTAACTGCACTTGCGCCGTGCGCTTAGATCATTAAAATAGAGCCCAAGATGTCTTTTGTGTTTCAAAAAAAGGGAAGTCGGTACATGAGGGAAACCAGCAAAAGTTGATTCAGACACACCCTAACCGCACTTGCGCCGTGCGCTTAGATCATTAAAATAAGGCCCTTTTGTGTTTCAAAAAAAGGGAAGTCAGTACATGAGGGAAGTGTGTATGTGATGACAGAATTGTCCTTTTCAGAACTATCTCTTACATAAACACAATGCTTACATGTTTCCATTTAGTGAACCTTTAACGTGACTTTAGTCGGTTGTGTTCTGTTTGTCTATTATAGATGTTCCTGTCCATTATCTTTTCTGCAATTGGTGTGGCTGGTGCTCTGTACAGTGGTGTAATAGCTGTGTTTGCCTTAATTAATGGACCAGTTTGCTTGACTGAAGATGGGCAATGGAGCAGACCATTCATGAATAGGTATGAAAATGATTGGTCTATCCCATTTTCAGAACTCAAAACATCCTCTCCAGTTTAAAAAGAACATTTATAGAATACAATTCTAGAGCTCATAGAGAGAAACGTGGCCATGACAACTAAAATGTACATTTTTTTTGGGTGCAAAAATTTGCAGGAAATTAAAATAATGTTAACATAAGAGTGTACATCAAAATAGTTTGTGGAGCTTATCTGCTTTTAAAGGGTTAGTTCACCCAAAAATGAAAATTCTGTCAGTAATTACTCACCCTCATGTCGTTCCAAACCCGCAAGACCTTTGTGCATCTCCGGAACACAGATTATGATCTTTATGATGAAATCTTTTCCTGTCCCTCTATTGACAGCTAAGTAACTATCACATTAATGCTTCAAAAAAGATCAGAGAAGAAGAAATTGTAAATCTATGTGAATTTAGCAGCTTATTAAGTGAACGGGTTGAATTTAGGCTTTTATTCACATATAAACATTCATCAACACACATAAGGTTGTGGTAAACGGAAGGGGGGGGGGGGGGCTATTTCGACTGGTGACGTCACTCTCCATTTAGGGTTAAAAAATTTCTCTGATTTGTGCATTGAGTCGTTTAAAGGCCAAAAAGTATAAGAAATTGCTTTAAAACCATGTTAGTGGGCAGTAGATTATTTGTCAAACCTGAAGTCTCCACAGCACCCTTTCTCTCAGTCTCCTCATCTTGCCCTGTCTCTTCCCCTCCTAAAGATGAGATTTTTTAAATTTACTTAAGGCTGGAAATTGTAATAATTCTCAATATGTACAAATTCATTATTAATCTCGTGCGTAACATGATGAAAACAGCGAACTGTACCGAGAGCCAATGAGGTTCATTCTCGTGTGTCAAGCACGTTTGGTTGAGCTTCTGTTTATGTTCGCTGATTATTGTTCAAATGTGAAATTAAATCTATTAATTATATAATGCAATCCAGTCTCTTCAGAAAATTTGAACTAAATCGCTCGATTCAAATGAATTAGTTTTACGATCTCTTCATGAACTTTTTGAAGAGTCAAAGTGGTAATTGCGTAGGCTGCTAATGGAGGGGACAGAAAGCTCTCAGATTTCATCAGAAATATCTTAATTTGTGCTCTGAAGATGAGCAAAGGTCTTATGGGTTTGGAACGACATAAGGATGAGTTATGAAAGAATTTAAATTTATATGATGAACTGGCCCCTTAATGTATTTTTGTTGTTCTTTTTATTTATTATTATGATTATTACTGATTTATTTTACATATTCTGCAGCACTGAAAACTACATAGGAAACTCTGACATCTGGGACACTTGCGAAAAGCCAGAAAATGTTGTGGAGTTTAACATCAGCCTGTTTGTCACCCTGCTGGTGGCTGCTTGCTTAGAACTGCTGCTCTGTGGATTTCAGGTGCTCAACGGCCTCTTTGGCTGCATCTGTGGTACATGCAATCACAAAGAGGAGGTATGTACTGTATATAAAAATGACTTGATTTCTAAAGGTCAATCAGTTATTCATTTACTGCACTTGTTGCTGATGGTCTTGCAATAGCTATTGATTGTTTGATTTATGGTTTCAGCATGGTACCTTATAAAATGATCTGATAGTGGGTCTAAATGATGCTCTTTTACTTTAGGTGGCATAAATTCAAAAGGACAACAGACCAGATAACACAGGATCAAGATCTATTACCGGACACTTAGCAAATGTGAAAGTGAACAGTAATTAACAAGAATGGACCTGTAAAACTTACTGATTTATATCTTCTCGATTGTAACATTGTTTGCATGTCATATTGAATAATAGACTGAGAAAATGTCTCCGGAAACTCAGTGATCCATCCATGTGGAAAAAAATGGGTTAATTTGTTGTATAAATGTAAGTAGTTAAACTTGTATTTGTTTTCTTATTTTATTTTGTAAAATATTTCAATATCTTTTAAATGGTAGTCCAATGTTATTTAAAAATGAATGTATTTATATTTTCATAGAGAGTTTTGGGTGGTTCGTATGAAAATTTATGTCTTAATGTACCCAGATATTCTAAATAAAACTTTTGATAATCTATGTCACCTATTACTGAGGAGTTTAATGTGGGGTTTGGATGAAGAGTGTTTTTCTATGTAGTTGTTTTATGTTTCTTAAGATAAAAAAAGAAGACAGAAATGACAGGCACTCACCGCAAATTCATTTCCTGAAGTAAAGGGCCACGATGAGACTGCAACATAAGAAGCGTCTTGAATCAGCACCAACTACCAGCCAAAGAAACTCTCTTCTACATAGCAAAAAAGTGAGTGCAATTACATCATCTACATATTCATTTTTTTGAACATTTTATGGTAATACCTCTTCTAACGAACCATTTGTTCACAACAAATGTGTCCAGTGAAATGCCTGTGTCTGAATGAGAAATGTTTTATTTTTGTTGACATCTGAAATATTGTAAATGTAAAGTAAACATTTGAGAGATTTAAAGGTGTATTAGTGGCATTTGACTTCTCTAATTGGCTTGTCTACATGGGCAGGCTTGACTTTTAATAACTTGTGTATGTATATGAAACATTGTTTGCATTTGTCATGTTGAATAATAGACTGAGAACATCGAAAACGTCATGTCCTGAAACGTATAATTATATATAACTTATATATATATAATTAAGACATGTTAGTTTAAAGGTATTTTAAATAGGTACCAGGTAATAGACTATACATATATTTATATTTATTATAGATGTACCTACAGCATAAAATGCACCAAAAGAGTTTTTGATTTTTATTCTTTATCTCACACAACCCTTGTCCATAATTCGGGCAAGATCTAAGATGCACGTTGTACACTTTATGAGATGTTGACCTTTGTCACTTGACCTTTTAAAAATACAGTGGTTTTTAAAATGCTTTGAGTTGGAGGAAAGGTTTACTCTCTGACCCTATTTTAAAGTTTCCTACTGACGCAACCTAATGTTGCAATACTTTGCAGAAGAACTACTGCATGCATGTTCATATAAAGTGAGATCCCTTCTTGGTGCAAGTTTCTTTTGATATTGATATGCCTGTTGCAACATTTCATTACACAACCCTTTGTTTCTCTGTCATTACAGGTTAAAGGCTTGTCAAGGAGGTAAATCCTAAAATCAGCAATGACAAATTCAACACAAGGCCAGCAGAATGTGGTTTTTGTTACTGTATATTCAGTGGTCTTCATATTTGGACTGACCCTCAACCTCACCGCACTTGTCATTTTTTTCCGCAACTCTAAATCACGATCGCACACCACCATGTACATGATTCACCTAGCCTTTTCTGATATTCTTATGGTTTGTACGCTTCCAGTGAGGATCTATTACCACGGGGGTTTGGGGAATCCGAACCAGAAATTCTGTGAGTTTACCGGTCTCATACTGCTAAGTAACATGTATGGCAGCATCTTCCTCCTCATGTGCATTAGCTTTGATCGTTGCATAGCAGTCTGCTTCCCATTGTCTTCTCACGTCCGTGAGGGCCGCAAGAAAGCATGGTGCGTGTGTCTGGGAATCTGGATGCTAACTATCGGAACGAGCTTTCCTATCTATTTCTATAAGGGGCAGGGAGCAAAGGAGCAAAACAACAGCAGCATGTGTTTTGAAACTTTTCCTAGCTATACCACTCAAACAGGTGCTCTCATTTCCACGCTAATTATTGGGTTTGGGATCCCACTAACCATTATGATTCTCAGCTCATGGGGGCTCGTCCGGGCTTTAAGCAAAAGCACGGCTGTTCAGACTAGTGACCTAGTAGACAGCGGAAGGATTAAAAGGATGATAATAACTAACTTGGCGATCTTTCTGTTCTGTTTTCTGCCGTATCACGTTATGCTTGTGCTACTTAATGTCTATAAGCCTCCCCCGACCAGGACATCACTGTTAACAGCTTACCAATACAGCCTCATGATAGCTTGCCTGAATGCAATGTTGGACCCCCTGGCGTACTACTTCACAACAGAGACGTTTAAAAGAAGAATGGATGTTGAGGCTGTACGCAGAATATGGCAAATGAACAGTCACAGCTCGGACGGAAACAACCGCTCACGTGTTCCGCTCACAACGTAAGCGCCACCTAAACTCAACTCTGCTGAAGATTAAAAAAAAAAAAAAAACGTTGCAGGTCTCATGCTTTTTGCTTAGTGACAGTTTATCGTTGACACGATCATAGCTATCTATTTTATTAGGCACGAAAGATGTAGGTTAGTGAAGTGATAGATCACTTGCATATGACTCAAAAAAAGAAAAGAAAAGAGGAAGCCACAAGTCTTTACACCCATCTGGGTGAGTTGCTGACTGCATGCATACAGTGTGTGCAAAAAATAAGTGTTCTGTAAATAAATACTCCTTTTAGAGGGCATTGTTTTCTCTCACATGTGAGAAAGTAAATGACTCGTTTAGCCATTGGACTCTCACTGGGAAGCCTTCAATGTGTTATTTCAAATCAAAAATGTTTGACAAATTAGGATAATTATTTACAGTGAACATGCTCTAAGACAGTTAGATTAGAGCATTATATCCACATTTACATATTTGTAAAGTTTCTACATTTTGTTAACGACTCAAAGCCTTTAGTTGTAAGGTACTAATGCAGCAGTGTTGTTTTTGTTGTATTTTTAAATGTTACTATTTGTAATTGTAAGTGTATGATAATTTAGCATGTGTGTAATTTTTAAATTTTGTTACTTTTCCATTAAATAACATATGGACATATGTGCTTGGATAAATGCTGTTACTGTTGTTAAATAGTTAAAAACCCTCTTCCTGCAGGTTTCCACACGTCTCTACCACATCCGTTTGACCTGGTGCACTTCTGAGTACCAGTTCCTTTAGGCTAAGTCTTTGGTATAACACCAATCTTCTCGTGTAAATATGTTAATAAAAGTGCTTACTATTCTTTTTTTCAGTTTTAATTATTGTTATCTCCATGTGATTTTTTTCTTGAGATGCAGAGAAGAAATTAAAAAAAAAAAACTTGTCATAAAGAAGCATATTTCTTTGGACAAGCAGCATTCAGCTCTGGGGTGTATTCAGGGTGATTGGAACACTTTTTGCCATTGAGATGGCTGGGGAAAGTGTCCCAAAAAACTTGATTTCACCCTAGATCGCCTATAGAGTGGATGGGTCCAATTTTCAGGGATAAAATGATACCAAAAATAAATAAAGATATTGGTAACACTTAATACGGTTCATTAGTTAACATTAGCCTAGTTAACATGAACTAAGAATGAACAATACTTCTTCAGCATTTATTAATCTAAGTTAATATTAATTTAATAAAAAATATTAATTTACTAATACATATTTATTAAAATAGGTTGTATTTGTTATTAGTTATTGCACTGTAAACTAACATTGACAAACACTGAATATAACTAACATTAACAAAGATTAATAAATAGGCTACTGCAACAAATTTATTGCTCAATGTTAATTAATGAACCTTATCGTAAAGTGTTACCAAGATATTGATACAGATGCATGTAATACTCACAACGTGTCTTAGTGCTTGACTGACTGACTTACCCAAAACTGGCCCATGGGAACTATCTACATTGTATACTTACTGAATGCAGAAGTTCTCGAGGCTATACCTTTTTACAGTCTATGGGCTAAAGCCTACCCATCAGAGCCATAGACATAGATCAGAGCCAGAAGTATGAGGTAGCAACAATAGCATTTTCAGCGAATGCATTTTTTTTGTACTCTAACGTCATTGTAAATTGAGCACCCCCTGGTGGTAGTCTGAATCAAATATTTTACCAGGAACTGTGGTAGGCTAATGGAACACATTGTCTGTAGAATTAACTAACGTTGTATTTAGGGTGACTAGACGTCCCGAAAAATTCGGGACAGTTCTTAAATCTAAGCTGTTGTCCTGAATCCCGAAACCGGCCTTAATTGTCCCGAAAATTATAGGCTACTAAAGCAAAATCTTACATTAAACATTAAAAACTGTCCGTGGAAGTTGAGTCGTCCTGCAGCCGGGTTACACTTGAAGCAAATCTTCTACACAATTATTTAGTTTACCGACAATTTATCTCTAATAATAATCTTGACATAAAGGTTATTAGCTTAGGCTATAGCCTGAAAGGTCGGATTTAGCCTGTACACGAATGGCAGATCTAGCTGTTGATCTTTGAATAAAAATATGTTTTTGGCAATAACATGGACATATGCTTAGATAACCGGCTATTCTTTCATGATCATGTTGATTATTTAGGCTAGTCGATATTCTGATAAGAATAAAACTGTTTGCCTTCAAATAAATTTTAATTTCCCCAAAATAGGCTAAAACAAATTATTCAGGAATGAAAAGTTTACAGTATAGGAATAACACTATACAGTAGCGTAGCCTATAGGCTACTACTTACTGTACAGTGGCTCACAGTGCATTATGTTGCAAACCTCAAAAGTGTTATGAAAAAGAGGTCATGATTATAAGAAAATCCAAAACACGAGTCCAGGAGCCACTGGAAGTTTGAAGCTTTGAATAAACTGATTTGTCTTTAAAATTGACGTTTACATTTTACATTCGATTCATTTATAGGGTGTAAACATTTACTTTTTGAAACTATGTGCATTTTTATTTTGCAAAAACGTTTCCGTTCACAAGCAAACACAGATTCTTAAAAACGTAGGACTTATTAAATTAATGTTTAATTTTACACGTTTTTCCTGGTTGGCAGCAAACTGTCAATTAATCACAACCAAATTCTCCTATTTAATCGAATCAGTCTTTCCGTGGGCGCTGTGTTTTTCTGGGCTGTTGAAGAGTTTAAGATGGCCATTAGAGATTTGGCACCCTGTCTATTATTCCGTTGACTGTGGGTCATTATGGCCGGACAACAGCAGAAAA